TCCATATCTACGTTGAAATGTTCACCCCTGGGACTTCAGAATGTAACCTTCTTTGGAAACAGGGTCCTTGGCAAAGTAACTAATGAGGATAAAGTCCTCATGGAGTAGTCAGGCCCATACTCAACATGCCTGGGCTCTGACAGGACAATGTGCAAACACATGCAAGGAGAGAACATCACTGTGCAACGACAGAGGCAGATAAGGGAATGCTGGAGCTGCCTGGGGTCGCCAAAATGGCAGCAAACTGGCAAAACCTAGAGGAAGGAAGGAAGGAAGGGAGGGAGGGAAGGGAGGGAGGGAGGAAGGAAGGAGAGAAGGAAGGAGAGAAGGAAGGAAGGAAGGAAGGAGAGAAGGAAGGAAGGAAGGAAGGAAGGAAGGAGAGAAGGAAGGAAGGACCCCCCCAACACACATACACACACACACATACACTCCACCAGGTCTCAGAAGCAGGGTTCATTACCCTGAGGCAATGAACTTGTTTACTGTGAGGCAATAAACTTGTTGTTTTAGGCTACCAAGTTTGTGGTCATTTATTACAGCATCCCTACGAAACTAAAAAAATATATGAGATGAATTCTTACAAAGAACTCATATAAGATTTTCTCATTTACACATAATTCTTTATTCAAAACTATAGAAAATCTTAAGACTTTCAGAAAGTCTTTCTCCCCACGGACAGTTGTTTTGCAACATGCTTAAGCCAAGTAAAACTGCTTCTGAGAGCTTCTAATCCTAAAACTACAACACTTTCATTAATGTTTATTCTTCAACTCTGGGAAGGTACAATATGAACACAGTTCTGTTTTACTCCAAATTCCATCAGGCTAGTTCCATACTTCCATTAGATTAAAAGAAGTATGAAGTTTGATTCAAAGACATCCTTAAAATTGTGACCAAAACATTATTTAAAAGGTACTAAACTTTAGTACAAAGGAATTTCTGAAATTCTGTGACATTTCTAAGCCAGTATATGTAAAACTTATACAAGCATTTTAAAATATCAGATCTGGTAAAACAGATAGTATGTTTTATGCTAATTGATTAAAATTTCCCAGTATCAATAATTTATGCTTCTTCATATATTTTTCCAATCTTCCTATTTCCCACATAGAAGAATATAACCAATGATAACTCAAAAGGCTTTCTCATTTAGGAGTAGTGAAGGAGGCAAAGCTTACATCCATAAAGTTGTGTATATTTTTTAAGCTGTGGGTGAGTCCTTGCAAGACCTCCAACATGGGAAAACTCAAGAGGATACACTTATAACAACTGCCGAGTTACTTCCGTCTGGATCAAGAGTTTTAAATCTAAAGCCTAACCCTAGAAAGGAAAGAAAACCCTAACGGGAACCTCAGCCCTTCAGACATAAAGCTCCCTCAATATTCTGCCCCACTAGGGCAGGGTGCTGCTGAGAAAGAACCACAACACAAAGCTCCAGATGTGTGAGCTTTCTTACAGTGGGGAGGGGCTCTCAGATTAGTAAAAATGACAAGAGACCAAAGAATAAATGTTTTAGACATTGAATGGTTTTTTCTTTTTAAAGTAAAAAGTTATTTTCAAAATATAAATAGAATTAAGAATAAAAAAAAATTAAATTATCATAAAACAAAGATTTGTAGACCAAAATATATAAAATATACTAATTTAATCAGTGTTGTTGTCTTTAATTTTTATAATTTAAATGTATGGTAATAGATGTAATATCTTAAAATATCAATTGTGTGAAATTGCTTCACAAAAACACAATATAATAATTTATTCAGTAAAAATATATAGAGAGAGAAAAAATGCAGGTATAATTTAGATAATTGTGTACTTTTCTCAGAAGTTTTAACCCCACTGATTTTTCCATAGTTCTGGACATATCCGATGTGGTCCACTATAAACAGAAATTTTGAAATGTTCCATTTCTCCTAGGGACATTTTACATTATATTTGGTAACTTAGTTACAATACAGTAATGGATCTTAGATAAAAAAAGATCATAGCCATCACATAAAAGATAAATTATGAAATTCTCTACAGATTAAGTGGAGCTATGACATAAAAATAAACAAAGGGGCTGGGCATGATGGTGCACCCCTGTAATCCCAGCACTCTGGGAGGCTGAAGCAAGAAGATCACAAGTTCTAGCCCAGCCTGGACAACTTAGCAAGACTCTGAAAATTTTTTTTAAAAGAATAGGGGAAGGCAGCCCAATATAAAGGCTCTGAGTTCAAGCTCCAGTACTAAATAAATAAATAAGAATGGAGGGCCAGGGATTTAACTCAGTGGCACCGCGCCTGCCTGGCAAGCACAAGGCCCTGAGTTCGACCCCTGGTTCTGAGAAAAAAAAACCAAAAAGCAGAATAGAGATGTAGCTCAGATATACACATACTTTTAGTATTAGCTACAACTCATTCAATCCAACACTACTACACTGTTTACCTAAACTATATATATATTAACACAAGCAATGTGCTGTGCTCGCTTTGGCAACACATATACTAAAATTGGAACGATATAAGCAATGTGCTAATTATAGGAATCATCTCATTAAATCCTCATAACCTTGCAAGAAGGCACTAATATTGCTGGCATTTTCTAGACAGGAAACAGGGGCACAACAGTAAGTTACTTCACATTCTGGAGCAGGTAAATGACAGAGCTACACACAAATCCAAGTCTCCATGCCTCCAGAGCTGACTTTAACCCACTACTTTACATCAACTCTGTAAATTGGTTAATTAATTGATTGATACAAACATTTTATCTTGTTACATATCATCACATATTTTAGGAATGTATGTAATCTCTTTATAAGTAAACATGTCCACTATACCAAGTAATATTTATTAAATATATGTTCAAGTAAGACCCCAAAACATTTTATAAATTTTTTACTTTTTACTAAGGGTGAGGCCAGGGATTTAGCTTAGTGGTTTCGCCGCCTGCTACGCAAGCACAAGGACCTGAGTTCCATCCCCGGTACCAAAAATAAAAAATAAGAAAGGGTGTAGCTGGGAATTTAGCTCAGTGGTTCTGCCACCTGCCTTGTAAGAGCAAGGTCCTGAGTTCGATCCCTGGTACCAAAAAACAAGAAAGGGTGGAAAGACTGGAAATGTTCTGAACTCTTCCCTGTTCATGAGTAAAATTTAACCTAATAGTTTATGTAGACAAGTTCTCCTGTATAAGACTCACAGGTAATAAATAGAGAACGGGGGAAATGAAAAAATTACAAAGTCATTATTTGGCAGCCCCCAATAAAACAATACATCCAGGTAGTGCAAAGAATGAGTGCTAAATCATCAGTGATATTATGTACGGGAACATTCTAAGGGAGTCACTCATATACCTAGCACTACCTCCGAAACATCTCGATTTTTTAAAAGGAGTAAATATAGTCAAGTCACTACCTCTGTCAGCATACGGAAAATGTGAGGGATACCATGTATGTAAAATGATCCCAGCAGTGTTATCCTAATCTAGAACATGGAACATGCCAAAGAAGTATCACATAGGTCCTACAACAAAATAGAACCAAAACAAATAGGTAGCCTTTTATTGATTCTAAAAGATTATGAGAGATATCAATCAAATAGAATGTATAGACCTTATCTGGACTCTGATTTGAATAAGCCAACTGTGAAAAAAAAAGACATTTCTTGGATCATCAAAAATATAAAATGATAATAAGAAATTACTATTGCTGGGCACAGAAACAATAATGTGGTAATAAAGAAGAAGGCCTGTACCTGATAGTGATCATATTAAAGAATCTGCAGATCAAACAGAATGGTTGATATGTGCTTTTAAACACTCCAGGAAAAAATAACGGCAGGGAAGAAAAAGATGAAATAAAAATATCAGAATGTTATTGTTGAAATTGTGTAACAGGTACTTTGGTGTAGACTTGAAAACTTCATAAGTATGAGGAATAATGTATGTTTATTGTTTGGATTCTGGTTGTAACAAACCAACTGCAAGAGGGCAATTTTGAGACAACTGGAGAACACACAGTATTTTGTATTAAGGAATTAAAAATTGTTGGATATCACTGCAGTATTCTGGTTATTAAATACTTATTTAGTAGAGTTATATACTGATGTATTTAAGAGAGAAATGGTAATATTGTGAGAAATTCACTCCAGAGATAGTATCTAGGACTTGCTTAAAAATACTCCAAGAAAAACATAGAGAAGAAAGAAATAAAACAAAAAAGGTAGAATGTTGATAATTTTTTAATTTCTAGGTTAATTTATACCATTAACTAGTTTAATATAATATAGTATCAACTATTACACACATTTGAAAAATTCCACAATAAAAAAATGAAAGAATGACCTCTAGGCTTAAAAAAAATAAGTATAACCAAATAACTACAGACTGCTTTCATTTTAGTTTAAAAGGCCCACTATCAGTGAATACACATATAGATATATAGAGAGGTACCTTGGTTCACAAACTTAATTTTTCGGTTCTCATCCAATTCAGATTCTGATCAGAATCATGGAAAGAATTAAATGCGTGAACTGAAGTACTACTGTATATAAAATATATCTTAATTAAATATCTGTAACTACACATATCTCAAGACAAAAGAATGACATGATTTTGACAAAGCAGAAATGTATAAACTTAAGACATGTTCATGTAATAGTGAGAATAAAGGAAGTAGTCATTAAGAGACTGCAAAATTGGGTAGGGAATATAGTAGGCACTCAATAAATGTTTCTGCATGAATGATAGTCTCTAAATTATTTTATTTCCTCTTATAGAATCTAGAAATGTTTAGTTTAAATTTCTACAAATACTGTATTCAGTGAAACTAAACTTTTCTAACTTTGGTATATTTTTGAAAATTAAATTTTTACAAAAGAAAATCTTTACCATAATAAAATCACTAAGAACTAAAAGACCCTAGATACAACTTAAATCAACTTGATCATTATAAATATCAAGATAATGAGGCCCAGAATAATAAAGCATATACCTCTATTTATATTCAAACATTTACTCACTTCATAAGACCTGAATTCTTCTTACTAAATGGTCCAATGATTTTAAACATCAGTTCCACAACTCCGTTTTTCCCTAAGGTTACTGAATTCACAGCTGAAAGGGGGAGAAAAAAACGCAAAATTATTTGAAAATTTTAATAACTAAAAATGTGTATACTTCAGGATACCCAGCAAAAACTTATACAAAGTGCTCATTAAATGTGAACTCAAGTCACTCTGAATCCACCTTAGTTAATCACTTGAAGGAAAGTCGGGGGGGGGGGCTTTGTTTTTATAGGAAGATACAAACAAATTCTGAAACCAGTTATATATATCCCCAAAAAATGTTATTATAAAAAAGATACTTCAGTTGCTCCATTTGCTTCTTCAATAAATTTAGTGACAAGGGGATTGAGAAACAAGAATAAAGTCTCTTCCCTGAGAAAACAATGTAGAGAATGAAATAACTGTGAATAACTACTAAACTACTTTGTAAATAGATTATAAGTTGTGGGTTATTTGTGGTACACCACTGAGGAGTCCCTCTTCAGGGTAAGACGGAAGCATTTCTGAAAATAATGCTTTGGCACAGACTTGAAATATAAGTAGGAGTTAGCTAGGAAAAGAGCTGAAGTTAATGGGTAGATACAGTTCAAGAATGTCTCTGAAGACAGGGGTATCAGCATAATAAACCTGAGACAACAAATATCGTATGTGCAGTTACACACTGTTAAACACAAAGTATCGAACAAAACACACAAATGGCAAGATGAGGTGGAGAAAGAAGGTCAGAAATAAATTAGGAGCAGGGTGCGGTGGCACACATCTGTAATCCCAGTACTCGGGAAGGCTGAGGCAGGATTACAAGTTTGAGTTCTACCTGAGAAAGTTAGTGAGATCCTTCTCAAAAAATTAGAAAGGGCTCCATGCAAAGGCCCCAGGAGGTTCAACAGAAAGGAAGAAGAAAGGGAGGATCGGAGGGAGGGAGGAAGGGAAAGAAAGGGAAGAAAGAAATTATGGTAAATCTTTGAAGTTAATTCCTTCAGGCACAAGGAATTGCGCAAAAAAAAAAAACAAAATGCATTTTCAATGAACAGATTTGCATTTTCAATAAACAGGTCAGGACCTACAGCACTCTGGAGAAAATGGACCTGAGACACTGTAGATGGCAAAGGTCTGAGTGAGAGGTAATATGGACCTTAACTGAAGCAACTCAAGGAAAAGGAGGGGACAATTTTGGCATTTCATACAATGTGCAAACAATTATCTAACAGAAAGTCTGTGCCTACCATTTCAATTCTGAATATTATTTTTTAAAATTACAAATAAAGCATTTGGCCAGCTTTCTAGGGGCTGAATCAATAAAATGCTGCCAAAAGTGCAGCTCCTAATGTTCTGTGGGATGGTTTGAAATCTTTCCTGTTTATCACTCCATTATCCCTTCTAACTGTACCATTTCCTTCACTATTTCATTCCTCTATGTGCTGTCTTTCATTTCCTTCATTGGCATATTACGTGGTTTTTCTGTTTTATCTCTAATCCAATTCAGCCTTAATTTTTAAATTGACTTTCTATTTTCTAACATATGATTGTTATTTTTTCCTTTCATTCCTCTACTTTCTTTCAGTTTGTTTCCATTAACTTCTTTGGTTAGATATCAAATCCATTTTCATATGTTGTTTATAATTATATAGATATTCACAATTTAAGTGTTCACAGCAATCTGAGCACATTTAGCCACAATGTCACAGAGGTACACATGCACACACACTTACGTATATGTGTTTATACATCTACACATAAACACATACATCTATCACTTTATCATTATTTTGCAATGATAGTATTCTGAAACAACATATACTACAATTCCATTTTAGGTTCTTTCATTAGACACTCCAATTTCACAGTCAAAAACTGAAAGGAAAACGCACACCTCCCAGGTTTGGGACCTACCGTGGCTAACTGAACATCCATGTTTTAGGAGACATTTTACCCAAGACCATCTCTCTGTGATCCCTCTCCTCTCGAGTTTCCTGGAGGCTCATCTATGATTTATTTTCTGATCTGCTAATTCCCTATTGATTGCTGAAAAATAATTAGCCCCAGCAGACTGTGCTTGTATGCCTTTGTCCTTAGCTTTCTTTTATTCATGAAAATCCGAAGAGGTATAGTTTTTCCAGCTTCTCATGTTCTTATCCCACGTTGCTTTTGTAGCTGAACTTAGTAGTTACAACAAGCTATATTAAATCTTCTTTCTATTTCCACAAATTTGAGAGGTTTACAGAATTTAGTTTAAAATTTTCATTTTGTATAATTTCACACTACTAAGTTAACTAAAATCCACTCCAAAACACTCACAGTTGGCAGAATATACTCGTAAAAGCTGAAGACAAGGTAGAACCAAGCGATGATTCTGCAAATTCTGTTTTACCAAATTCAGGGTTATGTTCAGCGCTCCATTAATTCTAGCTTTCACTCCAAATTTTTTATCTATGTAAAACAAGACAAAGTAATTTACTAAGTGTAAGTTCTGAATGAAAGTCACATAGCAATGACACTGTAAATTTATATTATGAATTCATATCATCAAATATGAAGTTAACCTGAAAAAATTAAAATTGTAAATTTGGATGATTTTTAAAATACTCCATACACTTGTAAAGCATGGTTTGAAAAATGTACCAAGGGGCAGAAAAGGGAATAGGGCAAGAGTATAAGGCTGGAATAGCCCAACATGGGATGTCAAGAGAGGAAGAACTTCACTGACCCAAGGTACATGCAGGCACACAAACACGAGACACACTGTGATTCTGAAATATCTGTCTTTTTTCTCTCCTTAACAGAATTTGCGAATTTCATATCCTCAATTCTTACAAGTAACTAGATGACTAAAAAAATCCATTCCACTTCTAAAACCAACAAAAAGCACCATTTTAGATTTTAAAACTTAAGCAGTTTCAAGGTAGAAACAAGGTTACAAACACGGTATTAGCTTTTGACAATCACACTGGTGAAACCCTGACCTTTTGGTCCAATCTTGGCAAGAACAGAATGAACCTGGACCACCAGCTCTTCATGTGGGGGAGATTCTTTGCTGGCATTCACAAGTAATTGTAACAGTATCTGTGAACCACCTTTGGCAACTAAGAAACTTCCTCTTCGGCCTCCACCTAAAATTTAAAAATCAAAACAAAATCTTTGAACAGTAAATCTTCCCTAGTAGGTATCACAACTTGTTAGCATTCAAAAAATATTTAAAATGATGACTTCTAAAGTCAAACAAATATACTGAAATCATATTTTAGTTTACTTCATTTACTGATAAAAATAGCACACAAAGAATAAACACAGAGATGCACAAATTCTAAGGTTCTGGCTCTGAAACTTAGAGTGGCGAAGGTAATGTGAAGGACACTTGAATATACCAAAACAAACCAACAACCAAAGAGTATGGCACCTCAGTTTCCAAATTCCAGTATCAGAGTACCTTCTAAGTATTAAAAAAATAATAATAAAGTACACATAATACATTGCTGATGACTATTCACCTAGAAATGAAATCAAAGAGAATAAAAACTTACCAGCTGATACCAGCTCAACCAGAATGCTTAAAATATTTAGCGTAGTTTGAAGATCTTTCGTGTTCTGAAATAAATAGTTTGCTTTATTAAAACACTGAAAACTTGTGATTTATAAACTTCTGAACCTGCTGGAAACCACTCATATTTTCCAAAGACCTTTCCAATTTCTCTAGGAACAAATATATTCAGATTTTAACTATTCTCATTACTTCAGTCTCTTCTCCTTGCCTGTAAGAATTTTTACAAGTCATTTGAGCTATTTTCTTGCAAGAGAAATTTGTCATTTCAACTCATCTTTCTACCAAATACATGCCCTATGGATACTATTTTGTACCTTGGCATTTACATATAAATAAAGAGCTTCATTTTTGAAGGCCTACAGGATAAAGTCTGTTATAGGGTTATATCATTTAGTATGTACATTATCCCACTCAATTTGTCCTACTCCACTTATTAAGTAATCCCTCAATCCTCTGTGTGAAATGCCACCTTTACCAAACAGTACTAAATTCTCATAAGCATTGGGGGATTTTCTATTTTGTTACACTAATATCCATCTACATGTATCATTGCTAAACTATTTTAATTATTAAAGTTTTATAATGTTCTTTGAATTCAATAGAAATAGTCCCTTCTCATTTCTTTTTCAGGAATGCTCTTTCTATTTCTGCATATTTTTCCCTGTATAGACTTCAGAAGCCAAGACTGCTGGTATTTCATTGAGAATGCTCTAAACTCGTAGATCCATTTAGGGAGAAATGTCATGTTTATGCAGTGAAGACTTTCTATCAAAGAACATGAATTTGGGCTGGGGCTTTAGCTCAGTGGTTCCTCCACCTGCCTCCCAAGTACAAGGTCCTGAGTTCAATCCCGGTACCAAAAAAACAAACAAAAAAGAACATGAATTCATTCCTTATTCTTAATATTGCACTAAATAATATATAAAATTTTGATTCTGAATACACCCTCCTTAGCCTACTCAAAACTTTTACCCTTACACAGAAATTTAATCATTAATATATGACATGTGATAAAAAATATGAATATTTAAATTTTAATAAATTTATTACAATAAAAGATAACTGCCATTAATCTTCCTCAAAATATTACCCCTCACTTCAAAAATACAAGTTGTGAGATATAGATAGATAGATGGATAGATACATAGATAGATAGATAGAAAGAAATAATCTGGTACCGCACAACTTCTGGCTCTTCCTCAAAGTCAAAATGACCACAAAAGCTAAACATTCTGAATCAATTCAGAACATCAAAGCATCAAAAACAGCACAACAAAAGACACTTGCAAAAAAAGACTTCTACGACTGCTTCAGAAACTGGCAAGAATGATGGGATAAGTGTGTTCAAAGCAGGGGGGAGTATTTTAGGGAATTAATGGCAATTTGTCTTTTACCATAATAATTTTTTATTTTAACATACACTGTATTTTTCATCATACCTCATGTATTTAGATGTTTAAATACATACCAGATGTTTAAATGACACCACCATTCCAAATCATAATTTAAAACATAAAACCAGTTTTCATTCACTAGTTTTATCTCTAAGAAAAAAATTTACATTTCATGTGTGTGCACACACATGTTGGTTTTCTTCCTTCAGTACTGCTTCCTATTAGTAGTTACACAGTTAAAGAAAAATAATCATAGTGTTTACCTCTAAGGTTGACAGCAGAACATCTACTGCCGTAGAACCTTTGGCTGTCATTTCTCTCCTTGTTTTTTCTAAAAAGTAGAAAGCAAATATTTTTAGCATGAATGAAAAAAGGTACATGTTTTATTGCATACAGCTGTTATAAAATCAACCAGTCTCTACTGTGTTAGCAAACATCTCAACTGTCTTCTAGATGCTCTTCCCTCAGTGGCTGTTTCATTCTGTGGAGGCTTCTAGAGCTCAGTTAACAAGCCCTTCCTTGCATTTCTTCTCAGTTCTAGGAAAGAATCTGTCCATTTAAAAATCTTAATCCAATAACAGTGCAGGTAGTAACACAGTGCAGACCACAGTAGGAGCAACCTACAATGGTAGGTTTATCTTGGTGAAAACAGTTTATCAAATTAAGTGAAAGCCAGGCTGGGGATTTAGCTCTGTGGTTACGCCGCCTGTCTTGAAAGTGTAAGGAGCCAAGTTTGATCCCTGGTACTAAAAAAAAAAAGGATAACAAATTAAGTGAAAGCAGACACCTAGTATCATTTTCAAATGTTTTCATTATAATACTACTTCAAAATTCTGAATCACATAACATTTTTAAAAAACAACTGAGGAAGAGCAACTTCTATAAGAATCTAGAGATAAAATCACCGAAATAATCCTTTCTCTCACTAGAATGGAAAAAAATGTATAATATTCCTATTATTTAGAAGCTCTAGATTTTCCTCACAAGTCTCCATTAATTAACGAGAAGAAAAGTAGATAGACCAGCATTTAAGAAAGGAACTAATATTTACCATTCCGTGTACTTTTCCTACATTATCTCATTCATACCTCACTGTAACCCTGGAATGATTTCAACTCATTTACATTCACTTAAGCATGCTTTACTGGGTAGTACTATGTGGTCCACCTTGCAGAAAGTTCTATGTGCTGCTGAGAAGAATGTGTATTTTGTTGTTGTTGGGTAGAACACCCTGCAGATAACCATTAAATCCATTTGTTCAAAAGTTAGGTTCAACTCTGATATTTCTTTGTTGATTTTTCTGGTTGATCTGCTTGTGATAGTGAGGTATTGAGGTTCCCTATTATAACTGTGTTAATGTTTACTTGGTATTTTATGTCCAGTAGTATTTATTTTATGAAGTAGGGTGTTGTGTGGTGCACATATGGCAATACAGTGATGCCTCAGTTCACAAACTTAATTCCTTCCACGATTCTTTGTCACCCGATGCAGAGTTCTCAAACAAAACCATCCTAAAACAAAGTACCACTGTAATTGCTATCTCTTCCTGTTGGATTGTTCCCTTAACCAATAAGTAGTCTTCTACAGTTTTGATGAGTTTTGGCTTGAATAGAAGATAGCTATACCTGCTTATTTGGGGGTTCCTGTTGCATGAAATATCGTTTTCCACCCTTTCATTTTCAGTCTGTAAGTTTCTTTTGGTGTTAAATGTGTTTCTTTTATACAGCATACTGTTGAATTTTTTTATCTTGATTCATTCTGCCAGTTGTGTTTCTTTTTTTTGGTACCAGGGATTGAACTTGGGACCTTGCACTTGTGAGGCAAGCGGCGGAACCACTGAGCTAAATCCCAGGCCCCTGCCAGTTGTGTTTCTTGATTGGAGCACTGAGACCATTCACATAGAGAGTGACTACTGAAAGGTACTGCCTTGTTTCTGTCATTGCTTTATTTCCTTCTTGCTCATTTCCTCTTTTTCTCCTTCTATTTAACTACCTAGTATATTCATCCTATTAGACTTTTAGGCACAGTTAGCTTCACCGTCTATTTCTAGCACATCCTTGAGAATTTAGAGAAGTGCTGGTTTGGTGGTCGTCACGAGTTTCTTTAGGTGCTCTTTATCATCTAAATGCCTTCATTTCTCTACAAATTTTTAAAGAAGGTTTTGTAGGATATGTCAGTCTGGGCTAGAAGCTATTTTCTTTAAGAGTTTGAAATACTTCACTCTAAGCTCTTCTGGACTTGAGGTGTGTGCTGAAAAGTCTGCTATAATTCTAATGGATTTTGGTTTATAAGTGATTTCTTGCTTTTCTCTAACAGTTTAAGGTTCTGTCCTTATGTTGGATTATTGGGATTTCAATTATGATGTGTTACAGAGAGGTTCTTTTCTGATCATGACCATTTGGGGTTCTATATGCCTCACTGAGGTGTATTAAATTCTTTTCCCTTACTTAGAAAGTTTTCTGCTATTATTTCAGGTATATAATGCCATTTGTGCTATCTTCTGACTTCCTACTAATTCCAATTAATCGTAGTCTTCTTTGTATCATCTAGAAGCTGTTGGATCCATTTTTCATATTCTCTTGTTTTTAAGGTATGTCTCTCTCCAACAGCAACCCTGTCTTCTGGTTCTGACACTGTCCTCAAACTGGTTGCTTCTGCTGACCATACTTTCAATAGGTTTTGTTTTTTGAGGGGAGGGGGGCCAGGGTTTCACTATGTAGTTCAGGCTGGCCTTGAACTCACTATGTAGCCCAGGCTAGCCTCAAACTTGCTGTGATCCTCCTGCCTTAGCCTCCCAAGTGCTAGAATTATAGGCATGCACTACCATGCCCAGTCCTCAATAGATTTTTAATCTCTTTAATTTGTTTGGTACCTTCTTAAAGACTAATTCTTTGCTAAACTGATCATTCATGTTTTTGTTCATTTTGTTTTGCTCAGCTAGCTTTTTATTAGTGCCATCTTTAAACTCACTTATCATTTTGTTTATTAAATCCATTCTCTCTTCAGTTTTATCTTCTGTGAGCTTGCTGAGCACCTTATTTGTCTGGTTTTTATAAGTTTCCTATTACACTTTCAAATAATTCAACTGTGTGGATTTTGATTTACTGTCTCTTTCCCTCAATGCCCCATGTATTAGCTTTGGGGGAGTTGAGGGTTTTTAGAAGCATTTTGTTGCCTTGTCTGCTCATGTTTCTACTGGTGTTTTGTTTTGTGCTAAGGTTTGCGAGTTGATTATAGTGGAAGACTGTTGCTAGTATGGAGACCTCTTTAGTAAGTGCTTTTCAGTGATACACTTTGGGTATGACCTTTGCTTCTGTCCCAAGATCCAACCACTTCTATTTATTTGGAAAGGGATAGTGCAGTGTATTTGGCCCGCACCCAGTTCCTTGGGAATGAGCCACAGAATTGTTAATGACACAAGGGCCATCCAGATATTGGCATACAGAGAAAAATCAATCAATAGCAACAAAATCAATAACAGTAACAGTGTCAAAGAAAACCTGGATATTGACATACTGTAAGAAGCAGTAATGTACTACCCTTAACCATAGAAAAGAGATCTATAATTATAGTATAAATACTAAGACAAACCAAATATTGACATTCAATAAATATGTACTAAATGTTGCATCTATACCTCCACTAACAACCCAAAAGTATACAGTTTACTATATAAAGATTCATAAGCTTAATGGTTATACAAGCAAGGATAAAAGAGACCGGGACACAGAGAATGAAACAAGTAGAATCCGAAAAACTAATCAATGGAAGATGAGAAGCAGGAGCAATAAGATAAAGGATCCTATTGAGGAAATTAATAATATTATATAAAGTAGCAGAAAAGAACAAATAAGAAAAAAAGAGCAAAATAAAGGAAAAAATATTAAGAGGAAGAAAAAACCCAAACCTCAAAGAAAAAGAAAGAAAAAAAATTGAGTTAAAAAAAAAACCTGTATTTTTGAATGATTGGTTTCTTCCCAGGATCTGCAGTCTTGGAATTCAGCAAGTCATGATTTTCTCTGCTTAGCTTTATGGCCTGTGGGTTTGTGAGGTGTCCCCTACCTCACTCCAGAGGCTCCTATCTGTACATCCCGGGCAATGTCAACCATCCAAGAGAAGGTGTGTCCTTGCTCACACTGGTAGATGGAGAAAGCAATTAGACCACTCGTCTCTGATGGATACAGGCAACAAGTCGGGGTTTAAGCAGACTGCTGGACTTAATGCCAGCCCTTTCAGATCTAGGCCCCCTCTGAAAGTCACACATGCCAGGCCTGGTTTCTCACCACAGAGGCCTAAGCTTAAACTTCTCTGGGCATCTAAGTCTAACCGGCACCCTCTCTGCTGCTGTCTCTTTTGGCTGTCACTGTGGGAAGGTAACACTGGAAATCCTGAAGTAGAGTCATTGTGGCTCAGTCTTAATCAGCTCCTTCCCAAAATGGCACCTGATTAAATACTCTCTGGCAATATTGCAGGCACTGCACTGGGTCTCTTCTCCAGCTCTAGCCTGTCACACATAAGTCATTTTCAGAGTAAAACTCCACTGTTTTGTAGATTACAATAGTGATGGGCTTTTCTTTCTTTTTTTTTTTTTTTTTGGTACCAGGGATCAAACTCGGGTCCTTGCACCTGCATAGCAGGCAGTGAAACCACTGAGCTAAATCCCTGGGCCAGTGATGGGCTTTTCTTGAGGCTGGTGTTGTTGGCCTGGTCCTTTATTTCTCTCTGAACTGCCCAACTCTCCAGGGCTTACCTTCTCTCCCTAGATGTTGGCCTTGTCCCACTAGATATACTTTAAATTTGCACAAGCACTGCCAAATTATTTTCTCCAAAGTTTGTAATAAGTATTATAACCCAAACAGTATATGAGAATACACTATTTCCCATGCCCTTCAACAGCACCAGATGTTGTCATTCTCCCTAATTTCTGCCAATCTGACTAAATTATCTTTGTTGTTTTGATTAGCAGTTCCTGAATTTTAAAATGGTAAAGAAACTTGTCATGTGTTTACTGGTTGTTTGCATTTCTTTTTCTTTGAACTATAAATTTCTAATCTCTCCCAAGTGGACAGGCAATTAGATTACATCTGAAGTGATGGGACAATCTTGCATGACTAACATACAGTGTGCTGGCTTACTAAATCAAGGAACTATTAAACAAAATCATTGCATTATACAACCTCAAGGAATACTATTTAGGGGTGACTACCCTAGCGGTAGGTGGCAAGGTGGGAAGAGGGGAAGTGTGGCTGCAGTATGGTTAGGAGTATATGTTCAGTGGTGATACTGGAGTAGGGGCTTCCAGGTTGAGATAGGCAGAGTTTACAATAATGGGAGCAGATAAAAAAAATATTACCTAGCTGGGTAGAGTAGCACATGTCTTTAATCCCACCACTCTGAGAGGGCTTACGCAGGAGGATTACAAATTCAAGCCCAGCCTGGGCAACTTAGTGATTTAGTGAAACCATATCTTGAAATAAGAAAAAGAAAAAGAAGCTCAACATGGTGGCACACCATGGCTTTAATCCCAGAACTCTGAGAGGCTGAGACAGGATGAGCAAAAGTTCAAGCCCAGCCTGGGCCACTTAGCAAGACCCTGTCTCAAAATTTAAAAAAAAAAAAAATTTAAGGGGATGCGGGTGCTGGAGATCTACCTCAGTGTGAAGGCCCTGAGTTCAACCTCAAGGAATAGAATGGAACAGAATAGAATAGAATAGAATAGAATAGAATAGAATAGAATAGAATAGAATAGAATAGAATAGAATAGAATAGGGCAAGGCAGGGCAGGGCAGGGCAGAGCAGGAGAGAGGGAGATAGAGACAGAAGCAAGGTAGAGATAGAGAAAGGGCTGGGAACATAGCTCAGTGCAAACACCCTCAGTTCAATAATAAATGCGTTTCAAAAACAAAGAGATTAAAGCTTACCTTGACTTTGAACCAGATGAAGAATTTTTGATGTAACATGTCTACCAGTATCTGATTCTGCAGATTCAGTATTGATCTTCTCCAGCTGAGCCAAGAGTCCCACAACCCGAGAATTATTCGTAACACTAAAGAGAATGTTACTTTACATTAGGGCATATTCCATATCAATTGCAAATTCAATACTATAAAGATCACTACTCTTCTAAAAACATTAAAGCACTTATACATATCACATTTCCTTACTCTGCTTTGTAAGATAATATTGCTAAAATTCTGATTTAAGAAACTACTTTCAGAAAACTACAAATCACAAACATACATTCAATCCCACTAATAGTCCAGTAATTTCTTTTTCTTTTTTTTTTTGTTACCAGGGCTCAAACTCGGGACCTTGTGCTTGCGAGGCAGGCGGCAGTAGTCCAGTAATTTTACATTACAACCTGAACTTTCACTCTCCAAGACTTGTTACACTTTCTCTGCTCTCCTCATAACCCTAAAAATCCCTTCAGAAGGGTACAATTTTAGAAGTGTCTGGGAAGACCTCATTGAGAGGGTATCATTTAAGGACAACCCTGATAGAAGCAAGAAGTTAGGAATCAGTCATGCACATTGTAGCAGAAAGAAGACGTCACAACCAAGACCCCAGGGCAGGAGCACATCTGCATGTTCAACAAAGAAGTGATCCTGTGGCCAGGGCTGACCTAAAGGAGGATGGTAGTCAGAGATGACCTCAGAATTGAGTACAGACACAGTGGAGAGCACAAGACGACTGAAGATCACTTAGACTCTTGCAAAAGACTTTGGCTTTTACAGTGAATGGGTTGGGGAGTTTTTGAGCCAAACAGTGATGTCTTCTCACTCTCAAAACAATGCTCACTTCTGCTTTTTATGCTGAGATTCACAGAACAATCCCTCTATGCTCACACTTGACATTCAACTTATTATCTATCTCTAATTTATCATCAATCTTTCCCTTTCAATTGGATATCTATCAGCACACAAATATAATCTAGGCTCTTCTACCATTCCCTGCTAGTCTTTGGAAACAATGTCTGTACTTGCACCCCACACTCCCTCACACAGGGCTCATTTTCCAGACTGCCAGTGTGCCTTCTGCACCCTCAGGCCTCCCAAAAGCCTCACTTCTGTCCTTGTTGTAGTCAGCATCTGAGCAGTGCCCCCCGGCCCCGTCTCTTCTGACCCGTCTACCTCTCGGACGTCATTCTTTATAACATTTCCCTCCCTCACCGGGATGCAGCCTACAGAAAGTATTAACGGGGCTTCTGGGTCTTTATATTTGCTGTCCCTTCACCATGGAGGACATTTCTTAAGTTTTCATATGGCTTTCTCCCCTCATTTCAGTTTGCAGCCCCAATTATAAGGTCACCTTCCACACGCCCTCCACTTCCAATGGTAAAATATATTCTTAAAATTTCTCACTGTTGAAATTACATCAATTTCATGAAAGCAGAGATCGTTCATGTCTTACTCTACACAATCATTACTTAGAACACTAGCTAGCACAGAACAGGCAAGACGGAGGTATGTTTCAGAAGGAACACAAAAACCAGGACCATATAAAGAACAATATACTTGTATTTTTTTCAGATTAACAACTGGACCCAATGCTTTAAACATGGAAGTATTTTACCTGAAAAGGTCTCTAGAGGTTGAAAAAATATATTGAGCATATTATTTGTAATATTTAAAAATAATTATACACAGTTCAATGGTACCAAAACAATTAAAAAACAATTATACACAATATTTCCCAATTTTTCAGATAGCACAGTATAGAAATAAAGTATAATTATGTAAAAATCTTCAAATTAACTTTAAAACTGTAAAAAAATGCACAGTATATTAACACAAGTCTTTAAAATATGCAAGTCAATACAATACATTCCTGTATGACACATATTTTATATGAAATATATAAGTACATATAAGCAATATATACATATAAAATACATCACAAATAAAAACATATATATAAAGACACAGATGAATATGATGAACATGAAATTCAGAATAGTAACAGCCTCAAGGGATGAGGGCGAAAAATGCTATCAGGCAATAGTATGCTCTTTATCAGAAATGCCTAATTTCTTAGGTGACTAGTGTTCATAGTATCATTCCCTATATTCTTATAGTTTTCATAATTATTTCATAATTTTTAAACAAAAATTCTGTAGAAATAAAAATAAGTTTACATGTTTAATATTTTATAAATTTATTTTTCTTCCAATGTTGCAGAAAGAATGAATGGTTCCTCAAAATTGCTCATCATTTTTCTGATTGAACCCCAGGCCCCACATGTTAGAAGAGCAAAAACTTAATATTGGAAATTTCCAAAAATGGGGAAAAAAAGAATATAATGAACTATCATGAATTCTACAATTCATGAATAACTTTATTTCATACATACCACCTTCAAGCACATACATCCCACTGGCTAATTTCAAAGCAAATGTCAGAAATTGTTTTCTCTGAAAAAAATTTGGCATTATCTATTTTCTAAATACATAAGGACTCTTTAAAATGTGTGTCCTTAATATTACAACTATACCAAAAACTATCAAAATCTAATTGTAGTCATATTTAATAAATTATCTTTCTCATTTTCTTGAACTATGAAGTTTATACAAGTCAGAACCCAAACAAGGTCTACAGATTGCTTTTGTCATAATCTATAAGCTTTGGAGCATTCTTTATTTCCTCACAATCTGCTTGCTGAAAAAGCTTAAATGTAATATAGCTTCCCACATTCTGGAATTTGCATCACAAACCCTTGGTATCATTAACATGCTTCTGTAACCTGTATATTTCCTACAGAACAACAGCCAGATCTGAAGATGTGAACAGTGCCTGGTTGTTGCCCCAGCCATCACGTCATTAAAGGCTGTCAAACCCTAACAACTTCACCATGCCATTCCCTCTTCATTTGTTAACTGGGGTGATTCCATGAAGAGAATTATAAATAATTCAATAAAGATTCCTTTCTATATTTGGTTATCCATACGTAGACTTCATCAAATAAAAGCAAAGATGATGACTTTGTGTATGTGTGGTTTTCTGAGATGGCATCTCGCTCCAGATCTCAGGCTGGCCTTGAACTCATTATCATCCTGCTTCAGCTTCCCAAATGCTAGGATGACAGGCATGCACTCCCATAAGGGGCTGAATTTTTAATTTATCTGCATTTACCAGTTTTCAGAAGAATAAATTCATTCCCTGAAATCCTACACAATGATGAATGAAGTACAGTATTTTAGTTTCTTATAACAACCGAAACTCATAAACATATTTGTTATGTGTTATCCACTATAAATTTTAAGTTAATTGTCCTATCTTTGATCAATCCAAGCCTCTTCAAGTTGTCTCCTGAATCTTTTAATAGAAGTCTTTGATAGCAAAATAGCTTTCCAGTCTGATAAAGCTCTTAATGACCAGCAATTCTTTAAGTATGGTTTACAAAATTCCCAGGGTACCTGAGACATTTTCAGAAAATCTCCTATGTCAAAGCCCATTTTTATAAAATACTAGGGCACTATTCCCTTTTAACACTGAGTTGATATTTTCACTGATGGTACAAAGGAGTGGTGGGTAAAAAAGTGACAGCACAAATCAAGGTAATGAGTGACAACAAATTGTACTAGTGTTCACTGTATTCTTCACCACCATGCACTCAGTTTCTAAAAATGCCAACTTCATCAATGAGTAGATTATCTTCTCAATATTCCTTGTGTGCATAAAACACTTCCGACATCCCCTAATATAACACTTGGGAGACAACATTTGTGCAACTGAACTGCAAGCTGAACTAGTCACATTTTTCAAAGAACATCATTACTACTTCAGAAAGCAAAGGATAAACTGATTAGACAGATACTATGGCAGACATTTTTGTGAAAATAATCAAAATGAGCTCAATTACAAGGAAATGATAGATGTTGTCAATGATAAAATCTGGGCTTTTGAGCTAAAATTATAATTCTGAAAAACATCAATCTACCATAATGACTTCAACGGCTTCCCAATATTTAAAGAATGTTTGGGGTTAGGGATTTAGCTCAGTGGTATAGAGCTTGCCTAGCAAGCACAAAGCCCTAGGTTCTAGCCCAACACACACACACACACACACACACACCAATTAATCAGTGGTGATATTAACAACTGTAATTTTTATTTGAAAATATATAATATTTACAAGATCAGCATAACTCACTGAATCAGTATTTTCCAAATGACCAATTTATGATGTTATAAGTTCAAACATGAGTAAAAGAACCATTCATTCAAGACAGATCAATGGATTTTAATGTAAAAGAGTATAAAATGTTTACAATTATAGTTTTAGATTCTACATTGAAACTATACCAAAGAATATCCATTTCAAACAACATGGTTTTAGTTCCAAACTATATTATATTTAAACTATTTGTTCCTCATTTACAGCTACTATTCTTGCTTTAACTATGTTCAGTATGGGCCATAATTCGTATGTCTCACTTTTAAGCAGCTTGAACTGCTGGTGGTACATGTGTGACTATCCTGTTCATGACTGTACTACTTCTACCACTGGTGGTACCAGCCGCCTGATGGGACAATCATGCATGTACTACTGGCAGTTCAAGCTGGTAGGAATATCTGAGGCCAGACATTTTTCTTCACATGCTTCAACAAGAATACCACACATAAACATATACATGTATAGGATATATATATACACACATCTATGTGTTTGTATAATTTGTCTGTATCATGACAGATTGAACTGAGTCAGATGAAGAGAATTTAGCTGACTTACATTAAGCCAGACATTAAAAACTCTGTAAAAATGTAACAAAACAATGCCACCCTTCTTACTATTCTTTGTTTACAAATATTTTAATTTCTTGGCTTTAATTTCATTATGGTAGCTATCAATGTGTACCATAACCACATAAATATTTTTAGAGTCAGCATTAGTTTAAGAATATGAAGGGAGCCCTTTGTTGCCTTTGCTACCTTGTGCCTGCCATGTTGTTTCTCCTCTGTGATGCTTGTGTGGCATTCCAGCCTCAGAGCCAGCTGATTATGGACTGAAGCCTCTAGGAACTGTAAGCCAGATAAACCCCTTCCC